TTTCCCGGTCAGTTCGGTGGCTTTCCCGGACAGTTCGGCGGTTTCCCCGGCGGTGTTGGCGGTGTGGGAGGTGTTGGCGCTCCCATTAACCCCGCTTTTGTCGGTTAAATGATTGTGGTCAACTAATTATTACCATGTTGATTATGTATAATATGTCTCTATCTAGAATATGTTTGTTTATGTAACGCATTTATTAAAAAATTTTGTGTTTGACATAAAGTTAATAATATTCATTAATAATTATCTATGCATTAGGTTTTAATTGACTTATTGTAGTTATATTAGTTTAAATAACAATTTTTACTAGATAAATAATTTACGTTATATTTATGTTTTAAATGTTTTAAAACTGGAATTTAAAATAATTTTGAATAAAAGTTTTGATTAGTTTTGTATTAAATTTATTTATTGGTTTAACTTAGTTTTAATTTTATTAATTATATTGATAACTTATTGATATTATAAATAATATACTATAAATTTATTGATATAATTTAATTTAATTTAAATATTATAGCTATAAAATTATTAATTAGTTTAATTTTTTAGCATAAATAACTTTAAAAATCCAACATAAAAGTCAATGTAATATAGCAATATAATTTTATTTTTATTAATATTAATCTAGCAAAACTAAATCAAAATTATTTTTGATTAATAGTTAGCATTAAAAAAACATTTGTGAAACAATTAATTTTATTACAAACTCAATTTTGTATTATAAACATATTAACTAAATAATTTTCAAGTTATTTTTAAATAATATTTAAACATACATTAATCATAAACAATTTATTCCTTTTAACTGTAATTCAACATTAAAATTACTAAATTATTATAATTATTATAACAATAACTTGATATATTGATATATTTTCCTAGTAACACTATCTTATATTTATTTATTTTATATTGATACGAAATAATCCTTAATAATGATAGACAAATAATTAACAATTAACTATATTTTACCAGAATAAAAATAAAATATTACAAATTTGTATTTAGATAAAATGTAGTTTGGTTAAAGTTTAAAATTTTGTAAATATTTGAATAAATAAATTGTATCAATAATTTATAATGATCTGAATATTATTTGATACGGCTTAGGCATTTGTAGCCATACACTATCTAATTCGGGCTCAAATGCATCTATTGTGCGCTGAATATCATGATCATTATAAAGTTCCATGCGATATTCATTTGTCAATTGTATAAATCTGACCAAAACTAAAAATAGGTTGTTAATAGCAAGCGATTCACCCAGGCATGTACGGCGCCCGTAACTAAATGGTATATAAGCAGTTGGTTTTGTTTTTAAAAATTGTCCATGTTTGTCAAGAAATCTATCCGGTTCAAATTTGTCAGCATTTGTCCAGTACTTCGTGTCAGTCATAACACTTGATTGATGGAAAACAATCAGGGTGTTTTTAGGCATTTTAAAATTACCTATTTTTATTTTAAAAAAGCACAAGTTATTAGCAATTTTATAATTATTTTTATACCTATCATATTAGTTAATTAAATTATTATTTACTGATTAATTACAATCCAATTAAATAAGTAGTAAATAAAGCTTTAGATTCTAAAGTTTAGAATAAAATTCTAACCTAGTTTGCTATCATCTAACATTTTATGGGGAACACCAATTGGAAATGGATTTTTGTATCGCAATATTTCCGATATAAACGCCATCGTGTAGTTTAGTTTCGATTTATCCTCAATGACAGGCATACAATCACCAAGTTCATTGTTAATTTCATCGCGTAATTTATCCTGATAATCAGGGTAATATGCAATAAATAACAGAGACCACAGGAATGTTGTCTGTGTAGTTTCAGTGCCACCTATTACTCAAATTAAACATTATAAATTTTACAAAGTTTACAAGGTAGTTATCATAAGTTTTATGTTAATATATTTTTATTAGAACTTTTAGTACAACATGATCGTCAATACCTATTAACATGTCAACCATAGCCGCCGGTAAGTTATTATCGGTAAGATAGGGTGCCGTCTGTTTCTCATTGGCAATTGCCTTGTTTTTAGCGGCGATAAGTATATCACAAAAGTCACGCAAATTCTCGTTGTCGTGAGTCTTGTCGTGTGTTTGATATATATCTCGAGTATAATTCATTAAATCATTGAAGTATTGCCTGTATTTAGCCATCGGATTGGCCATCAAATAGCGTAACACCGGTACAAACTGGTAGAGAAAAAGCGATGCACCTAGGTCAGTGTGGAAATCTGTTATCGTATACTTTATTTTCATTTGCACATCTTGATCGTCGTTAATCCTATTTGAAATAATGAGTGTGAGATTAATTAAAATAAGATCAAATAAATATATATTGATTGAATGTCCAAGTAGACTATTAATTTTATATACATAAGCAATTTTAAATAAACTAGAATACTTTTTGCTAAACATGGCGTCACCCATAATATTGACAAACATGTTGTATGCGTAGAGTTTTGGCTTAAATGGTGTATTAATGGCCACATCTCTAGTAATATTGTCGATCATTTGGCGTACATTTTCGTCCACCACTTCAGACAATGCCTTGGATTTCGCGTATTTTCTAAATGTTTATTTAGTTTTAAAATTATTTTTTTTTAAATTTTAGATAAATTAATGTTACTATAATCAATAATAAATTTCAGAGCTATTTTAAATGAATGTTAATAATAAATAAAATAAGGTTTTTTAAATTTAAAACAAGTACTAACGTCAAAGAATTTCCCAGTTTTATGTAATATAAACATATTTACACACTTTCATCTTTGTAAATTACAGTTTATTTTACTTGAATACTGGAAATAATACTCATCATGCTCATACACAATATATACATTTTATATTTTTAAATAACTATAATTATTACCGAATAGCAGAAAGCGATACTCGGTGTAGACTTTCCCAACATTTACCATAATCATTAAATGCAATATCTGCGTGACGTTCGTTATTGTATATTTCACCTAGTTAACAAGTAATATACGTTAAATTATTATTAGAATACGAGTATTGTTTACAATATTTATGTATTTAATTAGTATTTATGAAATAATTAATGAAATAATTTACTTACCAAATAACATGTCTATTCGACCGGCAAATTCACATTTATTAAACGCCTGGCGACCCATATCGAGGTCGCATATAATCACGAATGGTAAGGGACCGATCCATAGGGTAAACACCAGGCCATACACCTTGCTCAGTTTGGAGACCTCTGTGTGCCATGCAAGTTTGTGATTACGAAACACTATGTATTTTATTAAATAAATATAGTTAATAGCTCATTTACATGTTTGCATATATATATTTATCATTATAATTAGTAGTTTGTAAATTATTTTATAATGTTATTAATTTGAAAATGATTTCTTACTTAATACATTTCCAATGAGCGGAAGTGGAGTAGGACCAGGTGGATAATTATTAAGTTTTGAATGAAATTTGATTAGATAATAAATTACTATGCCAATTAGCAAATAAGCGCTGGTAACAAATATCTCTTTGCTATATTTTATGTAAAATAAAATAAATTATTATAATTTTTAATTGCTCTCTCTCTCTCTCTCTCTCTCTCTCTCTCTCATCAATAATTTATTATGATAATCATTATAATGAACAATTATTATAATTTACCTTAATACATCCATATTGATTTAATCAGTGAAGCAAAAATTATTTTTAATTACTTATATGCCAAATATGGTAAGCAACAGACATTTATTTTATTTTCTAATTTAATCAATAAAAGCAATATTTGTGGTCTACGTCACAATAATAAATACATTATGTTGCTTTCAAATTACTTTTAAATAATATAAAAAATATTATTCAAACATATTTATATTAATTCTCAGAAAATATAATTATTTAAAATCAATTTATAATTAGAAATTACATTTAATAATATTTAACAATTTATAAAGTTAAATTTTTTTTAATTATTTATGTATTCGTTTGATATAATTTAATTAAATTTAAATATACTTTTAAAATATTACATTAAGATTGTAAAATTATTAATTAATATAATGTGTTTAGTGTAAATAACTTTACAAATTCAACATAAAAGTCTATGTATTAATAATATAGCAACATAATTCATTTAATTAATAATTATATTTTTACAAACAATCTAGCGAAACTAAATCAAAATAATTTTTGATTAATTGTTAGCATTGCTAAACATTTGTGAAACAATTAAATAAATAGTTGGAAATAAATGTGATTTCCAAATGATATTCAAACATCACTCAATCATATACAATTAATCCTCGTCAAACGTAATTCACAATTAAAATTATTAAATTATTATACAGTAATATGATATATTTTACGGGTAATTATATATTACTATTTAGGTACAGTATTCTATTCCAAAATATTCAAAAATAATAAATTGTAAACATTATCAATAATTAACTGAATTTAAACAGAACACCAATATTTACTTTGTCAAAGTTTTAAATTTTCTACAGAAAATATTTAAATAAATAAATTGCATCAATAATTTATAATGATCTAAATATTATTTGATATGGCTTAGGCATTTGTAGCCATGGACTATCTAGATCGGGCTCAAGTGCATCTAGTGTGCGCGCAACATCATGATTAATATAAAATTCGATGCGATATTGATTTGTCAATTGCATAAATCTAACTAAGATTAAAAATAAATTATTAATAGCAAGCGATTCACCCGGACATATACGGCGACCGTAGCTAAACGGCATATAAGCTGTTAGCTTTGTTTTTAAAAATTGTCCATGTTTGTCAAGAAATCTATCCGGTTCAAATTTGTCAGCATTTGTCCAATGCTTAGGGTCTGTCATAACGCTTGATTGATGTAGAACAATCTGGGTGTTTTTCAGCATAGTAAAATCACCTATTTGTATTTTAAAAAACACAAGTTATAATTGATTTATAATAATTGTGATATAGTTACTTTTAATTATTATTTAGTGCTTAATTAAATTAAATTAAATAAGTGACAAATAAACAATAAAATTTTATAATAAAATCATCACCTAGTTTGCTGTCATCTAGCATTTTATGGGGAACACCAATTGGTGTTGCATTTTTGTATCGCAATATTTCCGATATAAAGGCCATCGTGTAGTTTAGTTTCGATTTATCCTCAATGACAGGCATACAATCACCAAGTTCATTGTTAATTTCATCGCGTAACCTATCCTGATAATCAGGGTAATATGCAATAAATAACAGGGTCCATAGGAAAGAGGTCTGGGTAGTTTCCGAGCCAGCTATTTCTCAAATCAAACAATATACATTTTATAAAGTAATCGCTTGTTATATAATAAGTGTGATGTTTATATATTTTTATTAAAACTTAACCAATACGACATAATCGTCAATACCTATTAACATATCGATCAAAGCCGCCGGTAGGTTATCATCGGTAAGATAGGGTGCCGTCTGTTTGTCGTCGGCAATGGCCTCGTGTTTAGCGGCGATAAGTATATCACAAAAGTCACGCAAATTCTCGCTGTCGTGAGTCTTGTCATGTGTTTGATATATATTACGCGTATAAGTCATTAAATCATTGAAGTATTGCTTGTATTTTGCCAACGGATCGGCCATAAAATACTGTAACACCGGCACAAACTGGTAGAGAAATAGCGATGGACCTAGGTCAGTGAGGAACTCTGTAATCATATATCGTGCTTTTGTTAACACAGCTTGATCGTTGTTAATCCTATTGATGTGTCAGATTGATTAAAACATACTGTATATTGAAACATTTAAAATAAGCTAGTATACTTTTTGCTAAACACAACTGAACCCATAATATTGACAAACATGTTGTATGCGTAGGGCTTTGGCTTAAATGGTGTATTAATGGCCACATCTTTAGTAATATTGTCTATCATTTGGCGTACATTTTCGTCCACCACTTCAGACAATGCCTTGGATTTCGCGTATTTCCTAAATGTTAATTAAACTTAAAGATTAATTGTAAAAAAATTTAGATAAATTAATGATATTCAATAATAAAATTGGGCGCACATGTAAATTAATGTCAATGATAATAATAAATAAAACAAGATTGTTTTTTTTAAAGTAGAAGCGTCCAGAAATGCCTAAATTGTTATGTTAAATAGGTTACATAAAACAATAGATTAAAGTTTATTTTACTTTATATTTTGAATAAATACTTATCATGCTCATATTTAAATATAAATTATACATACAGATATTATAGATTTATATGTAACTATAATTATTACCGAATAGCCGTAAGCGATACTCGGCGTAGACTTTCCCAACATTTACCAGAATCATTGAACACTACATCTGAGTGACTCTCGTTATTGAAAATTTGACCTGGTTAATATATAATTTACTTTATCATTTAAAATATTTTATAATATTAGTTTTAAAAATAAAATTTCCATATTTAATAAATAATACTGTATAATAATTAAATAAGTATATGAATAGTCTCACCAAATAACGTGTCGATTCTACCGGAAAATTCACATTTAGTAAACGCCTGGCGACCCATATCGAGGTCGCAAATGAACACGAATGGTAAGGGACCGATCCATAGGGTAAACACTGGGCCATACACCTTGCTCAGTTTGGAGACCTCTGCATTCCAATGAAGTTTGTGATTACGAAACACTATGTATTTTATTAAATAAATCTAGTTAATATTGAATATATTTATTTGCATATCATCAATTTTATTAATTTATAAATTATTGCATACTTAATACATTTCCAATAAGCGGAAGTGGAGTAGGACCAGGTGGATAATTATTAAGTTTTGTGTAGAATGTGATTAAATAATAAATTACCATGCCAATTATTAGACTCATGCAAGCGCTGGTGACAAATAACGGGTTGCTAATTTTCAATGTTAAATTTAATTAATTGTTGTAATTTTTAATTGTAAACTGATCTCTCTCTCTCTCTCTCTCTCTCTCTCTCTCTCTCACATCCAATGAATTATTTATTATGATCATATTATAATCAACAATTATTATAATTTACCTTAATACGTCCATTATAATTTGGTCAAACGAAATTACAGAAAACGAAAACCTATGTTAATTATTATTAGTTAAAATAGATATTAATTGGTTATTAAATAAAAAGATACCAACATCAAATAGCTGATCCAGGTATGGTTGATATATTGTTCTGTTCAATGTTGTAAGGATATGTATATTCTATTGTAAGAACGTGCAAATGGCCACAAACATCAAAGTTATGACCAGATTTCTAAACATTTTCATATGCCATATAGAACTATACTTATTGGTGAATCACATTACTTATGTGAATTAATGTCAATATGGTAATTACTAAGAATTTATTTAATTTAACACAAACATATGGTAATCAGTAAATTAAGCAAATTCTAATTAATAATGATACATTTATTGTATTTATTATTTAGATATATAAATTTACCGATATTATAATATATAATAATTAATTATAAAACAGTGATCATAAGTACTTTGTAACAACAATACACATACAAATAATATGATTTATTACATCGTTCAGTTCCCTTCCCACATAATCATGCTATAAATCTAATATAAAAGACAATGTACCTGCAACATAATTCTCGCAATTTTCTACATATTTAAATAAATAAATTGTATCAATAATTTATAATGATCTGAATATTATTTGATACGGTTTAGGCATTTGTATCCATGGACTATTAAGATCGGGCTTAAGTGCATCTACTGTGCGCTGAACATTATGATCATTATAAAGTTCAATGCGATATTGATTTGTTAATTGCATAAATCTGCTCAGCACTAAAAATAAATTAGTAATAGCAAGCGATTCACCCGGACATATACGGCGCCCGTAACCAAATGGCATATAGCCAGATGGTTTTGTTTTCAAAAATTGTCCATTTTTGTCCAAAAATCTATCCGGTTTAAATTTGTCCGGATTTGTCAAATACTTTAAGTCTGTCATAACGCTGTATTGATGCAACACCACCGGGGTGTTTTTAGGCACAGTAAAATTACCTATTTTATAATAGAAAAAGGACAATTAATTAACAGTCTTATACTAATTTTAATAGTTATCATAATAGTTAATTTAACTATTTAGGACTTAATTACAATCCAATTAAATAACTGGCAAATATAAATATAAAATAAACAAATAAAGCTTACATAATAAAATTATACCTAGTTTGCTGTCATCTAACATTTTATGAGGAACACCAATTGGTGTTGGATTTTTGTATCGATATATTTCCGACATAAACGACATCGTGTAATTTAGTTTCGATTTATCCTCAATAATAGGCATACAATCACCAAGTTCGTTGTTAATTTCAAGGCGTAACCTATCGTGACAATCAGGGTAAAATGCAATAAATAACACGGCCCAGAGGAAGGCGGTCTGTGTTGATTCCGTGCCAGCTATTACTCAAAGCAAACATTATAAATTTTACAAAGTTGTTATTTATAAGTAAGTTTTATGTTAATATGTTTTGATTTAAACTTATCTAGCACAACATGATCTTCACTACCTGTTAACATATCAATTAAAGACGCCGGTAGGTTATCATCGGTAAGATAGGGTGCCGTCTGTTTGTCGTCGGCAATGGCCTAGTGTTTAGCGGCGATAAGTATATCACAAAAGTCACGCAAATTCTCGCTGTCGTGAGTCTTGTCGTGTGTTTGATATATATCTCGCGTATAATTCATCAAATCAGTGAAGTATTGCTTGTATTTAGCCATCGGATCGACCATAAAATACTGTAATACCGGCACAAACTGGTAGAGAAATAACGACGGACCTAGGTCAGTGAGAAACTCTGTAATCATGTATCGTGTTTTTGTTAACACAGCTTGATCGTTGTTAATCCTATTTATGTGTCAAATTAATTAAAACATAAATACTTTATGTGAAAGCATTATTATTAAGCTAGTATACTTTTTGCTAAACACAACTGAACCCATAATATTGACAAACATGTTGTATGCGTACGACTTTGACTTAAATGGTGTATTAATGGCCACATCTTTAGCAATATTGTCGATCATTTGGCGTACATTTTCGTCCACAACTTCAGACAATGCCTTTGATTTCGCGTATTTACTAAATGTTAATTAAATTTAAGGATTAATTGTAAAAAAAAATTAGATAAATTAATGATATTTAATAATAAAATTGGGCGCACATGTAAATTAATGTCATTGATAATAATAAATAAAACAAGATTGTTTTTCTAAAAGTAGAAGCGTCCAGAAATGCCTAAATTGTTATGTTAAATAGGTTACATAAAACAATAGATTAAAGTTTATTTTACTTGTATTTTGAATAAATACTTATCATGCTCATATACAAATATAAGTTATACATACAAATATTAGATTTATATGTAACTATAATTATTACCGAATAGCCGTAAGCGATACTCGGCGTAGACTTTTCCAACATTTACCAGAATCATTGAACACTACATCCGAGTGACTCTCGTTATTGAAAATTTGACCTGGTTAATATATAATTTACTTTATCATTTAAAATATTTTATAATATTAGTTTTAAAAATAAAATTCCCATATTTAATAAATAATACTGTATATTAATTAAATAAGTATATGAATAGTCTCACCAAATAACGTGTCGATTCTACCGGAAAATTCACATTTAGTAAACGCCTGGCGACCCATATCGGGGTCGCATATGAACACGAATGGTAAGGGACCGATCCATAGGGTAAACACCGGGCCATACACCTTGCTCAGTTTGGAGACCTCTATATGCCATGCAAGTTTGTGATTACGAAACACTATGTATTTTATTAAATAAATCTAGTTAATACTGAATATATTTATTTGCATATCATCAATTTTATTAATTTAAAAATTATTGCATATTTAATACATTTCCAATAAGCGAAAGTGGAGTAGGACCAGGTGGATAATTATAAAGTTTTGTGTAGAATGTGATTAAATAATAAATTACCATGCCAATTATCAGACTCAAGCATACGCTGGTGACAAATAACGGGTTGCTGATTTTTAATGTTAAATTTAATTTATTGTTGTAATTTTTAATTGTAAAATGATCTCTCTCTCTCTCTCTCTCTCTCTCTCTCATACACATCCTATTAATTATTTATTATGATCACAGTATAATCAAAAATCATTATAATTTACCATAATACGTCCATCATAATTTAGTCAAACGAAATTACAGCAAAACGAAGATCTATGTTAATTAATATTACTAATAATAGTCTATTCGTTAAAATAGATATTAATTGACTATTAATAAAAGGATACCCACATCAAATAGTTAATCTAGTTGTAATTGATATTGTTGTGTTCAGTGTTGTATGGATATGTATATTCTATTATCGAAAAGTTTGAATGACCACAAACACCGAGGTTATAACCAGATTTCTAAACATTTGCATACGCCATATAGCATTATACTTTTGGTGAATCACATTACTTATGTAAATTAATGTCAATATGGTAATTACTAAGAATTTATTTTATTTAACACACACATATGGTGATCTTTAATTTAAGCGAATTTTAATTAATAATGACACATTTATGGTATTTATTATTTAGAAATATAAATTTACCGATATTATAATACATAGTACATTAATTATAAAATAGTGATCACAAGTACTTTGTAACAAAAATACACATTTTAATTCACACATATAAATAATTCGGTTACATATGAATTTATATGTCACTATTTATGTATTTTACATGCAAAATTTATAAAAATTATCAATAGTTAACCGAATTTAACCAAATTAAATACAATACACCTCAAATTTATATTTAGTTTTTCAAAGTTTAATATTTTCTACATATTTAGATAAATAAATTGTATCAATAATTTATAATGATCTAAATATTATCTGATACGGCTTTGGCATTTGCATCCATGGACTATCTAGATCGGGCTCAAGTGCATCTAGTGTGCGCTGATCATCATGGTCATTATAAAGTTCAATGCGATATTGATTTGTCAGTTGCATAAATCTGACCAGCAATAAAAATAAATTATTAATAGCGAGCGATTCACCCGGGCATATACGGCGCCCGTAACCAAATGGCATATAAGCTGTTGGTTTTGATGTACAAAATTGTCCATGGTTATCAAGAAATCTATCCGGTTTAAATATGTCTGGATCTGTCCAGTACTTCGAGTCTTTCATAATGCAATCAACATGCAAAACAACCGGGGTGTTTTTAATCAAAGTATATTCCCCTATTTGTATTAAAAAACACAAGTTATTAGCAATATTATAATAATTATGATAGCTTAGATTAGTCAATTTAATTATTATTTAGTGCTTAATTACAATCCAATTAAATAAGTGGCAAATTAAAACATAAAATATACAAATAAAGTTTTATAATAAAATTATCACCTAGTTGGCTGTCATCTAACATTTTATGGGGAACACCAATTGGTATTGGATTTTTGTATCGCAATATTTCCGATATAAACGCCATCGTGTAGTTTAGTTTCGATTTATCCTCAATGACGGGCATACAATCACCAAGTTCATTGTTAATTTCATTGCGTAACTTATCCTGATAATCAGGATAATATGCAATAAATAACACGGCCCATAGAAAAGAGGTCTGGCTAGTTTCCGTGCCACCTATTACTCAAATCAAACATTATAAATTTTACAATTTTTACAAAGTTTTATGTTATCTAGATAATATGTTTGTATTAAAATTGTTAGTACAACATAATTGTTACTACCTGCTAACAAGTCGATCAAAGCCGCCGGTAGGTTATCATCGGTAAGATAGGGTGCCGTCTGTTTGTCGTCGGCAATGGCCTCGTGTTTAGCGGCAATAAGTATATCACAAAAGTCACGCAAATTCTCGCTGTCGTGAGTCTTGTCGTGTGTTTGATAGATATCTCGCGTATAAGTCATTAAATCATTGAAGTATTGCTTGTATTTAGCCAACGGATCGGCCATAAAATACTGTAACACCGGCACAAACTCGTAGAGAAATATCGATGAACCTTGGTCAGTGAGGAACTCTGTTATCATATACCTTGTTTTCATTTTCACATCTTGATCGTTAATCCTATTTAAAATAATATGTGTGAAATTAATTAAAATAATATCATGTAAATATATTGAGAAAATGTCCAGTATAATAGTAAATATACTGTATATACACCATTCTTAAAGCTGTTCTAACCATAACAAATCCATACCTTTACATTGTTACTACCAAAGCGCATGTGTCAGCACTGTTGCACTCTTTTTCTGTTTGAAATACTGAACATCATTGGATCCACGCTTTTTACACATGCGCTTTGGTAGTAACAATGTAAAGGTATGGGTTTGTTTTGGTTAGGATAGCTTTAAGAATACTGTAGTGTACAATTCATAAAAATTTAAAATAAACCATTTCATTAATATAAAATTTTTTAAAATAAATTAGAATACTTTTTGCTAAACACAACGACACCCATAATATTGACAAACATGTTGTAAGCGTATGGCTTTGGCTTAAATGGTGTATTAATGGCCACATCTCTAGTAATATTGTCAATCATTTGGCGTACATTTTCGTCCACCACTTCAGACAATGCCTTTGATTTTGCGTATTTACTAAATATTTATTTAGTTTTAAAATTTTTATTTTTATATTTACATATATTCTTTATTAATGCTATTACTATCAAAAATAAAATTAGACTCTTATTTAAATTAATGTTAACAACAATAATAAATACTATAATTATTACCGAATAGCCGTCAGCGATACTCGGCGTAGACTTTCCCAACATTTACCAGGATCATTAAATACCACATCCGCGTGACATTCGTTATTGAATATTTTATCTTGTTAATATATACGTTATTATTAAAATATTCGTTTTGTTAACAATATTCATGTATTTAATTTGTATTTATTGAATAATTATAATTATAACTATTTATTAATTTACTCACTAAATAATAAGTCAATTCGACCGGAAAATTCACATTTATTAAACGCCTGGCGACCCATATCGAGGTCGCATATGAACACGAATGGTAAGGGACCGATCCATAGGGTAAACACCGGGCCATACACCTTGCTCAGTTTGGAGACCTCTGTATGCCATGCAAGTTTGTGGTTACGAAACACTATATATTTTATTAAATATATAAATACAGTGAATACTAAATTTATTTATTTGCATATACTGTATATCAATAAATATAATTATAATAATTTAAATATAAATTATATTATAATGTTATTAATATGAAAATGATTGCATACTTAAAACATTTCCAACTAGTTATTTAATTGGATTGTAATTAAGTCCTAAATAGTTAAATTAACTATTATGATAACTATTAAAATTAGTATAAGACTGTTAATTAATTGTCCTTTTTCTATTATAAAATAGGTAATTTTACTGTGTCTAAAAACACCCCGGTGGTGTTGCATCAATACAGCGTTATGACAGACTTAAAGTATTGGACAAATCCGGACAAATTTAAACCGGATAGATTTTTGGACAAAAATGAACAATTTTTGAAAACAAAACCATCTGGCTATATGCCATTTGGTTACGGGCGCCGTATATGTCCGGGTGAATCGCTCGCTATTACTAATTTATTTTTAGTGCTGAGCAGATTTATGCAATTAACAAATCAATATCGCATTGAACTTTATAATGATCATAATGTTGAGCGCACAGTAGATGCACTTAAGCACGATCTTAATAGTCCATGGATACAAATGCCTAAACCGTATCAAATAATATTCAGATCATTATAAATTATTGATACAATTTATTTATTTAAATATGTAGAAAATTGCGAGAATTATGTTGCAGGTACA